AGCCATTTTCAGTATTTCCGCCTTAAAACTTGCACGGACCCGTGGCATGCTTCGGGATACGTTGCTGAAATCCGAGAAATCTTCTTCAATATCATGCTTCCGTGGCATGCTTCGGGATACGTTGCTGAAATCCGAGAAATCTTCACTATCATGCTTCCGTGGCATGCTTCGGGATACCTTGCTAATCTCTCCCAGCAGAGAACCAATTCCCCCAGATCTGATTCTTCACTATCAACAAGAATCCCTGATTATATAGCTTGTACATATTTCTAATTCTTTTCAATCTCTGATCTCTTCAATTGAAATCGGTTCTTTAAATCAATCAAGAAAAGCAAAATACAGACAGAAATGGGTTGTTTGCAATCAAACCCATTTCGCAGGATGCTCCTTTTCCTCATCCTTTTCCTCTTTCTTTCGTTTTCATTCCCTCGTATTTTCGCCCAGGTAGTATCGTATTTTCTTGCTTTTTAGGGATTTGTATTTTGAGTTTGACGTTCTTGGTAATCATATTACGTGTGCTTAATTTTAGGAATCTGATGGTGATGATGCAACCAAGGATCTGGCTCGGCGTAGTGAAGTGAGTAATTTGTCTTTCTAGATTGAAGAATCTGATAATTTGACGGCTGTGTTAGTTGTGCTAGATCAGATGTTACCAAAATGTACTTTATACCAACTTTGTATTTTTTTGCTTACCTTGTTGTACTCCTTTAGTTCTGGTACCATGATTGGATGCAAGTAATGTAGGTGGATTTACAAGCTCTGGCATGAGCATGTTTGTGGGTTGTTTGTTTGGTTTTTTTTTTGATAACTATGAATATTCGGGCAGCTTGCGCACACCTCTACGAATCCCACGAGCCTAAAGTTTTACAATCGACTACTCACCTCAATGGCCTTGGGGACTCGACTGGGGCGTACCCATTAAGGGTCCAGATTTTTAGCCTTGAAAAAAGCCCATTTATAACCCAAGCCCAAGTCTTTTAACATTTAAAAAAAATGGCCCACATTGCAATTCTCAAAGCCTGCATACTCCTTCCCCTCCCGCCAATTCTCAAACCCTGCAACCCTATGAACTCGTTCCCTTCCCCTTAATTCCCAAACCTTGCGAACTCATTAGGCGACGGTGGGATACCAAATTCCAATAATCGATTTACCATATTTTGAAAGAGGAAGAGGAAGAACGGATTGAAGATTTGAAGAAAGTTTTGTGAGTTAACTCAATTTCGAAATGAATTCGTTATCCACGCTACCTAACTTTTTACTTCCTGGATTTGGTGTATATGTAGTAGTTATGTATAATTTCAAACAAAAGCTAGGGTTCTTTATGCAGTCAACATGATACACTGAGAGGTGCTTGGACCCAGATTTGATGCGGAGTGATTGTGAAAAACCGGTCCAAGTGTCCCACATTGTTGGAGATTTCTTTTAATTCCTCTGATTTAATGGTGCCCACCAGGTGTTCGGTTTTTGCTTGATATATAATGAGATGATTTGGACTTTGGTTTCTCTCTTTTTATTTAAATCTTAGCTGTCTTTGTTGATGGTATATAGCTAATAAGAAATACTAGAAACTATAGATTAATTTGATGCAAAGAATAGAAAACGAGGAATTCAAAAATGAAGATAGAAACCTAGGTTCTTATGTACGAAAATCAGGTGCGAGAATCATTTTTTCTCTCAGAAGTTTACACAATGTCATTTCCCTTCAATTTTATGATTTAATATATGCTAGTTTGCTGTTGAATTGAGTACCATGTTACCTGTTAACAAATTATAATAAAAATCTGAAACAAAGATTGAGATGCAATAAACCAAGCATTTATACTCTTAACCAAAATAAACATGATTGTTCAATGGTGAAATTATGTGGAATGAATCAGTCTCAGTCTTGCCAGATACTCTGTCTAACATGTAGAATAGAGAGAACACACGGATTCTACAAATGACAATATAATATTTATCTATACCTACACAGTGGAGGAAAGAGAGAGTCTAGCATAATGTTCCCCAAGAAATGCTTCAGCACAACAAATGCCTCAAGTCTCTAAATTTGTTGCTGCATGTTTTCTTTTTCTTTTTTCCCCCTTTATGTTTAGTTGGTTAAGATGATATAGATGGTGTATAGTTACTGATTTGGATTGGTCTCAATTTTATCGACTGCGTAATCAGATTGGAGACCAATGGATGAATGATAGCTCAGTTGTGTATGTTGAAAAATATGTATTTAATGAAATTAATAACGAAACTAATATACAACGTTTTCAAAGTATGAGAAGTCGTAAGGAACAATTGTAAAAAAAAGTACTACATTTTGAATATTATCTTTATTGTCTAATATGAAATTATTTTTTACGTAATTCTTTTTCGCCCCTCCGAACCATAATCCTGGGTCCGCCCTTGGGTCCCAGCAAAGAATATCATAATTTTGAAAGTAAAAACAATATAAATAGACTCTTGAAAGATAAATATATTTGACACTAAAAAATAAAAGGATTCTGTCATGAAAAGTTACCTTAAGAAGAAGAAAAGTATTCTTTTCATGAAGGCTTTGAAGATGCAAAACCAGGCCTCCCATGCATGCAATCCCAGGATGCCTCTTTCGGGCTTCAATCAACAGCCAATCCTTCAAATAAACATCAGGCCATCGCATTAACAGACCCGTCCTCTTAAAACGAAAATTCAGAATACGCAAAAGCATGGAGAGCCTAATTAAGCAAACAAGGTAAGTTTCAAATTCTTGCACTGCAGAAATTAATAACCTGACATTAAAAAATTATGTTATGCACTTTTTTTTTTTTATCCAAAACAAGGAACATAATCAATGGCTGCTTCTGGACTGTTACAGTAAAGAGTTGTTTTGCTCTTTAATTTTCTTCTCTCCTTCACCACTAATCGTTTCTTTAGATCGAGATTTTCCGATGCAGGAAAGGAGCATAGAGAAGAGAGCAGCACAAGAGACAGAAAAATAACCTCTCAAAAAACGCAATCCTTCAGAGGTAAACTTGAATTTTTCTCACTCTTCTACTCAACAAAAATCGAGGAGGAGAGGAGATAAGATTTCTATTCGTATAAGAAAATTTGTTAAGGGATAAAATCTCACATCGAATAAAGATGAAAACATAGACCAATTTATAAGAGTTTGGACTACTCCTCTTAATAAGGTTGACCTTTTAAGATGGAACCACAAATCTTAACAAAATTCATTCAGGAAAAAAAACATCACTAAGCTAACATATCAATTAAAAATTTGCTACCTTGTGATAAATCATTATTTATGTAGATACAGATGTCAAGGCGCTTATAAGCACCTCAGCGAGTAAAAAGTTTACGGAAAAGGAAGTTGGCCCTGCACCATCCATAAAAAAGAAGCCAACTTTTGCTTATACTGACCCGAATAACATAATAATCGATCGCAAACCCGAAATAGCCTCGCCGGAGAAGGCTGCTGAACCTGTTCCATCCATGGGAAGGCATCCAACTTCTGTAGATAAGCAAATAAGCATCACAGGTAGTGAAACTCCCGAAACCACAGCGCGAACTCCTGATCGTCCACGCACCATGCAATCCACAGCACATCCAGTAGAGACGAAAAAGAAGATTCCAACTGAACCTGGATCTGGAGACACAACGGCAGATGCTTGGGAAAAAGCTGAGATGGCTAGAATTAAAGAAAGGTACAGGTTATTTCCAACTAGTAGAAGGGATTTAATCAATACCCCGTGTTTGAGCTTGTCACTTTGTAATAAATTTCCATCAGTTTTCTGCATATAATGGAACGAGTTTCAGGTATGAGAAGCTGAGTGCTACAATTCAAAACTGGGAGACTAAGAAGAAGAAGAAGGCAAAACACAAACTAGAAAGCGTAAAGGTTTATTTGCATCACATACGCTTTAAACTAAACATTAGTAATCATGTATATACATAGATAACAATCAAGAAAATTAATTTGCAGGCTGAATTGGACAAGAAAAGAGAAAAAGCCATGCAGAAGTACCACGCTGAGATGAGAAACATTGAAGAAATTGCACAAGGAGCAACCACACAGGCGCAAAAAAATCGCAGAAATGAAGAGTTTAAAGTAAAAGAGAAGGCTAGTAAATTCAGATCAACTGGGAAGCTTCCAGCAACATGTCTGTGCTTTTGAATCTCACTGGTAAAAGACTGTGTCTTAACAAAACGAAGTAAAGGCAGAAGTCCCACAGCATTTACGCCGACTACGGCCTATTCTGTGCAAACTGGCTCAAGCAGTTAAAATCCTAGTATTTTGCACATAGTGAATATGTTTAAAAAATTGCTGTTTTTATTTTTCTGTTTCAAGTATTTTATATCAAATGGCGATCTTCTTTTAGGTGACTTGCTCAATATTGTTTTTCCAAATATTATCAAGAACTTTTGTTTTAGGTATGGAAGCATTCATTTTTTGTGCCTGTAATGTCAGCATGTTGAACAGTGTAAAAGAGAAGGAATACATAAATCCATATTGACGCTCGAAATACCCAAGAAGAACAAAGAAGTAAAAGAACAACTAGAAAACATTATTTATGGTCGTTAATCCCGTCAAACTATAAAACCAAATCAAAAAATGTCTCATGCGATAGGTGAAAACGTTGAGATAAATGAACATCTAGAAAAATCACAAAATTAGAAATAAAACAAAATAGTACAATCTATTTACGATTAAGAAATCCTAACAAAACAATTGAAAGATATGAAGAAGTGGACAATCCAACCATATAAGTTGAAGAGGAAGCTAGCATTTACATCAAATAGCTAGCCAGTCTGGTACAGATTCACGTGTCGTGAAAGAAAATGAACGTCTTAGAGAGTCATGAACCATGCTGGAGGCAAGATTGGATGTATTATTCAACCTTCAGGTATAAGCTTTGCTAGATAGATTGGAATAAATAATCTTACCAGTTCCACCGTTGGGTCAAGAGAGAAAATGGCAAAAATCTCAAGGAAAAAACAATCAAAATATCTCAAAGCACCACGAAAGAGAATCAAAGATTCAATAGCAATCTTTAAAATTAAATAGTTCAAACAGGATGGATGGAAAAAAATGTTATATCCAGTTCTTCAACAAAATCAGGAAGGGAGGGACATCAATAGATGAAAAACATAAAACATCACTGATTTGAGATTAAGAAACAGCAACTCCAACACAGTTTACAGCATTGAGTTCAACACGGATGCAATATTTACCGCATCCTTAAACATTTACACTTGCATTAAAGAAAAATCAACAACTTCTTATAAAAG